TAATTAAAATTTTAGAATAACTTTATTTTAATATATCATTGTAAAAATTAAAAAAAAATTTATATTTAATTCGATTCGATTCGATCAAATATTTGATTTAATTTGATTTGATTCAATCAAATTTAAATCAATTCAAATTGATTTGATCAAATATTTGAGTTCAATTTGATTTGATTTGAATCGATTTGAAAAAATCAAATTACATTTAAATTGCTTAAATATTTAATTCGATTCGATTTTGAGAAATCCTTATGCTAATGATGATACCGAAGAAGAAGAAGATATTGATGATAATGAATAGTGGGATCCTAGTAAACCATATACTGGATGGGATTTTATAACTCACTTTGGTAAAGATACTTGGAATAAAGTATATCAAGCTTGATTAGTTTATTATCACAATATCCTTCTTAGGCTATTTACCGGACGCCTTTCTATTTTATTTGAGCAAGCAAAAAATGGATTATTTGACACATTTTCTAAATCTGATGCATATGAAGTATTAGAACACAATGCACTTTTGGATGTATTAGCTGATCCTGTGAAAGGTTTGAAACTTAATGAATATTGAGTTAATTAATCCCACCCATTCACTTTGTTTGTGATTAGTGAAAAAGTTAACAGATATTATTTTATAAAAAATCATGCTACTGCACCTTTGCTTTATTTTATGAATAAAATGTTGCCAAAAGCTACAACTATTACATATTGCGAATACTATTATAAAATCTATCTATTCATTATTAGGTGGAAAGAGGAGATACAAAAATATGAATATCATTTGGACCAGAAACCCCTTTGAAAATAATTAAAAATCGAAGCTGTTAGTTGTATACTTCTTTCACCCTAGAAGTGACTCATACTAAGATCGATTTGCATGAAAGAAATATGATCAAAGAGAAATGCCAACCATTTCTTTATGATAAGCTTGAGCGAGATGACCAATTTTCCTAGAAATCTCGATTACAAATATTTCATTATTGTTTTAGCTATCATTAATACATAGGTTAAGACTATAAATTTCATTATTTGCCATTTTGCTATTCTAAATATATCTCATGGTAAGTAAAATTTCGCTTCTATAGATAATTATATGAACTATACATACCTTGAAAAAAGTTGTGAAAGATATGAAATAGGAGTTCTTTTGAACTTTGCTTATTATAAAATGTCTAAAAAGTAACTAAGCCGAGTCTTTCTAATAGTAAGTTTATATATTTGGTGGAATGTGATTAAAGTTAATCCCTTTTGACATGATGATCTTTCTGCAAAAAATAAAGCTTATCTATTCCCTAGCAATCTCGGAATTGCAAAGTACTCAAGTCTTCATATCATAATATCATATGCTTTTACCGTCATTTTTTACTTAGGTGATAAGCCCTGAACTGCAACTAAACATTCATAACACCTCTGTTCACATTTGTTTGTGTGAAATAGGAACAGAAGATAATATGATTTCTTTTAAATGTACTGTATATGTAAAAATTAATTACTCTTATAGCACAGATCTATCTTATGATCAACCACATTATAATGCAAATGCCTAGATTGATTGATTATTACGCATGATTGTTACTCTCTACTCTGAATTAGTTAAATCAGTATGCTCGAGTCAGATTCCTTCTAAGTTTTACCTTCTTATTACTGGATTTTTCTTTACACACTTTACTTTACAAATCTTCTTTTCTGGAAATTCATAATCATAATCAGACTCAGATGAATCTGTTAGCTCTTTATCAGACTCTAAACCAGTTTGTTCTTCTACATAATTTCCTACAGTTCTTTCTAGCTTTCACTAGTTGAAATCATTTCATTCAGCACTAATACCATTCGGTTAACATTCAGCTGATTCAGTCATATGGGAGTTGATCTATTAAAAGGGATTACAAAATATAGTAAATCATATGATTTGTACCTCAATTTTAATAGAATACTACACATGATTTGGTAAAATTCAGCTTAAGTTACAAACATCAATAGTCATTATACATAATTTATTATTATTTCAGCACTAATACTATTTATCAAACATTCAGCCGATTCAGTCATATGATTCAGCAAAATTCAGCTTAAGTTACAAAAATTGATAGTCATTTATTACATTGTACATAATTTAGCATTATTTTGGCACTAATATCATTTGGCAAACATTCAGCCGATTCGGTCATGTGATTCAACAAAATTCAGCTTAAGTTACAAAAATCGATAGTTATTTGTTACATTGTACATAATTTAGCATTATTTCAGCACTAAT